GGAGATCTACATGGCGTTGGGAAGCAGAAGGTTTTCTCTTCCTAATAAGCTCAACAATATTGCTGCAGCTTAATTACTGCAGGAACTCGGCCGTCGCGGATTTCCACTTTAAAGTCTACATTTCCTTCTAGAAAGCTTGGCAAGCCTCCACACCTCCTCCTCGTTTAGTGAAAAGGAAGTGATACGCAAAGGTGCTGATCAACACCTCTATGGAATGCGCAATGTACACGACTTCCCTTCGGAACGCATTATTTCCTGCACGCTACGTCCCTGCTGTATCAAGTTTGACCCCCCCCCCCCGCGGAATACGCGACGTGTGCCTGACCCTGCACCACACCGCCTCCGCTTTTGTTCCTTACACAGAATAAGCAGTGATAATTATTGTGATTTGAATGAAACTAGAACGGAAGTCAGAGAAGGCGAGATTCAGAAACGCGCAAAAATTGCTCACCTGAACCCAACCCATGGAAATCGAATAGTGTAGAATCAACGTCCATATCAGGCCAAGAATCAGCTTCTTATTTTGGTCCACAATATGTGAACTGTCTGAAATCACATAATTAGTAACAGTTGGAACATCGAAAAGCAATAACAACTGGGATTCCAAGTAGATGAATACCCACCAATATTTACAATTTTGATGTGCTCAACATCTTGGAAGAACTTCAGCGCGAGAGAAACATTCTCAAGCTTTTGCGAACGGAAGTTGACCTAAACTCTCAAGTGCCAGACATGTACAAACGATGTGGCGCGAAAACCCACCTTCTTGTTGAACCGGCCAACGTTCTTCTGTGAAAGCACGGCGGCCAGGCTTATAAGCTTCAAGCCATCAGAAAAATCCGTTTCCTAGATGACTGGCTCTAGTAATCTCGTATACATGTAAAACTGTAGATAAAAATAGCCATGATAAAGCCTTGCCTCCGCCAGCCGTCTTTACTGACGAACCAACCTCATGAAAGGATCTCAGCCGGTAACTTGGGAGCAGGCTTGTATACTGCACGCCGGCTCAAAAACAAGCTTCGAAAACGCCCGGTACATGCGTTAAACTGCGTTCATACTTTGCGGCAACGTCCACCAGCGACCAATGGCGTCCACCAGCGTCTAGCAGCGTCCAAGGAGTGAGTATGGCGGGATAGGCAGGCAGCAGACAGTTACTAGGGTATGGGGAGATAGGAGTGTAGCAGACAGCTGGTAGAGTATGGGGAGATAGGAGGGTAGCATACTGCAGGGTGTGGCGCGTATAGGAAGTACTAGCTGTCTGCTACTGTCCTATCGCGCCATAGTCTACTTTTCCGGACGATAGATTTGATAGATGAGATGATAGACGCTGGATCGACCCCTCCTCTAACCCTCGAGACGCTGGTGATGGTGTCAGACGCTAGCGCACGCTGGTAGACGCTTAACGACGCTGGCACACGCTAAAACCATATCTCTAGTTTCCTAGTCGCTGACGCTGCAGGACGCTGCCGCAAAGTATGAACGCATGTTCAGAGTGCATTCGTGTTGCGCCGGCGTACGCTCAAAGCGCTGGATCGAGACCTATACTTCCCTAGTCGCCCAAAACGCTGGTGCAAGCTCAAAATGCTGACGGAAAGTTTGAACGCACTTTTACAGGCGCCGGTCTCAAAGTGAGCCTGTTAGTCTGGCGATTGTGGCGTGGGCAGAGTTTTCACTTGCAGTGCTCATACTAATGAGGTCAGAGCAACAACAGGCAGGCTTTTCTCCGTCTCTGCAACTAGGGAAAAAATTCGATTCAAATGTGACCTTTATACGGAAGTACCAGCTGTCTGCTACTGTCCTATAGTCTACTTTTCCGGGCGGGCAGTAATGGGTGAATATTGCCCGAACAGTAACCGCCTAGGTCTTGTTGACTATGCTGCGAAATGATACAAGTAGGTGACTTCGATTCCACGATTATACAGGTCATCAGAAGGTGACCCTTACCAAAAAACCTGACAAAAAACAAAATTCATACAACAAGAACGAATAGCTCACTAGGCTGTGGATGGAATCCCCAGCTTTCTTGAGATGATTGTTCACCCAGCGGGTGAATGTGTTCTGCTGGATTATCTTCCATTCAGCATCGTCAAGCCTTATCGCGGGAATGACCTGCACAAAAATTAAAAATGGGATGAAAGTATGATCACAAAAAGAGCAGAATAGCAGCCATGTGAAATAGCAGAGCGCGAAGTTGAGAGTTATGCGTACCTCTTGCTCTTGGTCGTGGTCACGAGTTTTCCCGTGAGGATGCGGATCATACATTTACCGGTGGTTCAGGCTCTTCCTTGAATCTTTTACCTGCAATTCATGGTTTCGCAATCGGATAGAGATATCGAACTTTTGCAAAAACCCAGACGGCGTTCAGTGCGAGAAATCGGAACAAGGAATCCACGAATATCGCGTTTTTGATTACCCACACTTCATTCAAAGACGATAAAAGTACAAGCAGACGTACAGAAGCACATTTGACAACGTACAACTCACAACGACCAATAGCAAAACACACTCTTATATTCCCGTCTTGAATTTCGAATCGAGACAAGACAAAATACAAAAAAGAACTCCACGAACAAAAGCTTGCGGGCTGCAACCGGTACAATCGCCTGGTTAAGCAGTGATATTGAAAGTTCTGAATCGAGCGCACCGTGGCCACCTTGCTAGGATTAACCCCAGCATCCTTCGGTCTTAATCAAACCACTCATTGAAGGTGGTTGCCGAATTAGTCGGGAGAACCGTGCCAGCCCCAGTACCTCGCCAGTAGTCAAGCACTTTGTATCTTCATGACGCTTAAGAAAGTTTGGAAGCATGGCGCAATTAACGCTGAGCTCCTATTCCTCCACCCCGCTACAATTCAAGTTCCCTTTTCTTTAAGTTTTTTCTTCACAATCTGTCTAATTCCTGTTGAACTGTGTTTCAGAATAGCTTTTTGTAGATATGTTCACAGAAGAGAAGAAGTAGAAAGAGGATACCGATTAAAGGAGACGATCTATCCCGCGAAGGAGTCAAAGGTAGTATAGTGGCAAGTGGCGCGCTCATCACTCGCGCGCCCCATGTATCAAACCCTGGATCGGCTCCCTCCCGTCAACCAAGCCTACTACCCCTCTCCCCTGGGATGCGAGAGCGGGATTCGTCTAGGAGAATAAGAACACTGACTTCCTTGAGCTTTTCCTTGGACACTGTAACTTTTTCGGTTTTTTTTTCTTTTTATTGCTCGTAGGCCCTCACAAGTCATTTTATAGGCCACATGGCATCCAGTAAGCCACTATGACTCCGAATCGAAACAGAATGCGTGCCGCATCCCAATCCGCATGTTATTCAACGCCTATCCCTTCCATATCACATTTAATGAAGTGCCCCACCCCGAATGAGCAACCGTGTCGGCCTGGCACAGCCATACGACTGGTGATCCTTCTCATGAAGTAATCCAGCCAGATTGGGTCAGCCACATGTGAGCCATCCAGAGTCACTTTATGATGTGCCACCACTCCACCCCCACAATCAATGTGCCGTTCCACCCAAGTGTAAGCTG